CACTCTAGAGGATCCCCCGTGTGTTTGTTCGGTCGTAATTAGCACCACCACCACCACCACCGCCACCACCACCACCACCACCACCACCAGCATGATGATCAAGATATGATCTTCAGAGGATTAATACTCAGAGGGCTCACTCATACATGTGTTTCAGGAATAATCATACAACACAGTGGGATCAGAATCGTATGTGTATCGTATGCGTTACACTTTCTGGAGTTACCGCGTTACCCCCCTCCGGAGGTGTATGTAACCCCGGGGGGGGGCCCCATACACTCTTGGAGCCCGGATGAGGCGGCGCAAGGGCCCGGAGGGGTCGAGGGGGCTGTATGTCCGAAATGGATAAAAAAACTCCCAAATTGAGTGCCCTTTGGTGTTATGGGGGATCGGGACTAAGGTTCTATTGCGGGCAGGGGTGAGGACCAAGAACATTCCCTCACACGCCCGTCGTCAGTCCTCAATGAACTCCCCTTCCCCCTTTCCTCCCTCCCCCCCAAAACACATAACCCCCCCAAACACACACACACGCGCGCGCGTACCCAGGGAGAAGAGCCGAAAGCGCCGGTTATCCCGCAGTACGGCACATGCCGCCACACCCTTTTCCATTCTCTCAACCACAGAGGGCTTCTCGTGCAGCAGTACGGCGCGTGCCGAGGCGGTGGCGGAGTAACGGAGGGGGTCCATACGGCCAGGGCCCTGTACGACGAGAGGGAAGGTGCGGGAAAGGATTAGGGGCCCTGCGGGCAGCGCGGGTCTCTCTCTCCGGCTCCTCCGGGTCTGAGGTCTGAGGACTCCCTGGAGACATACATGCCCGCTGCTTCGGCAGCCATGGATCCAGCAGTAGCAGCTGAAGTGGAAGTAGCAGTAGCAAAAGCAGCAGTAGCAACACTAGCAGTTGCAGCAGTAGCAGCAGTAGCAGCAGTATGCGGCACCTGATCCGGCGACATACTCCTCGGCTGGTTCCTCCCGCCGCGGCCACCTTTACCGGCCCCCCCGCTTGACGCGGATCGCCCATCACTGCCGCCGTCGTCGTACTCGTCTCGCTCGTCATCACTGCCGGGATCCAGCGGTTCGTTGAGGAAGTTGGGGCTGAGGCCGGGATACGCCAGGGAGGACTGAATATCGCGGGATCCAATGACGCCTGTACGGCGCAGGTCATCCAGCTGGCGTGGCGAGGGTAGGGTAGGGGAACAGGGAGGCGGGGGAGAGGAGGGTTTCGGAGCGTTAAGGGTTTCATGGCGAAGAGGTGTCTTCATGCTGGGGTCCTGTAAGGGGATGAGATGACTACAAGGTGGTGGCATGGAGATGCAAACCGAGAGGTGATCTGGTTGTGAGGGGGAAAGAGAGGGGTAAGTGGAGGAGGAGGAGCATTAGGGTGAAGGATGGCTTGGTGAGGATGGAGATATGTGGGCGTGACGATCACGTGGGCGGATGGAGTAGTAGGGGTGTGGTAAGGCTGAGGTGGTGTTGCCTGTGGCGTGATGTATGGTGTTTAGGTGGGAAATGGAGCGGGAACAAGGACCCTTTTGCGTTACAACGCGAGTAAAACGCAGTTCTAAATGTCAGCCCATAATGATGTGTCACTACAATGTGCAGCAACGGTCAGTTGAGGAATACCGTCGCAGGACCTGTTCGCATGCGCGTGCCTACCGTGAACACGGGGTCGAGGCTCTGAATCTTCCGCGCATCCTTGGGTTTATAGATGTAATGGAGCTGGTGCTTCGGTGAGCCCACGCCATCGTCGAGCTGCATGGCTGTGCTGGGAAGCTGAGGCAGGCGGTTTGGCATTATGTTCTACCTAGAAACTCTGCACCTTGAGCCGTATTTACTTGTTATCATAAGACGTGCATTTGTTGACAATTCAAAAAGCCATCATTTAGAGGCGTTTGCGCTCGGAGAAATAACGCAACACTTGGAGTCTTCGCAGAGCTTTTCACCTTAAATCAACTCCTCGACATTGAGGATCATTGTCTCTAATTGTAGTCTAATTGCCGTTATTGAAACACGCGTTTGGGTCATCGTTATAAAATGGTTGCCGTACATTCTGCAAGCAATTAATACTTAACAATACCTTCTGGCTCTGGCGAGCTATTGTCCGGCATTACGTAGCTTACAGTATTCATTCCTAGCTTACCACCAGGTTCCGTACAACCTGACGGGGCGTCACCCTTGCAATTGCCCCTACCCTCACATCCCAACTTTTGTCCTTCAATCAAAGATAACTGTAATGATCGGATAAATCATTCATACTCCAACTATCAGGCTCGCCGCTTATGAGCGTGCACGTCGTTCGTCGAGCGACAGTCGCATCTTGCGTTACCGCGCTGCTGCAGCGTGGGGCCCCAGCGACTACCCAGTCTCCCAGCAAGCAAAACCGTGGACAGTCGCCAAGTAATTTCCGCATTAATTGCTTCCAGTGCACTGGAAGGAGCTTCCCAAGCCGACGAAGCATTGCCCGCCGCGGGCGAGACCAGCCCTGTACCCCTCCCTGCCGCAGACTCAAACCCCTGGCACAAGAAGGCCCGCAGATATCGCATGACGCAGATTTTGTAGCGCTGCTGTACATCGTGGCAGCCTACCTAGCGAGTTGAAGGGTCAACAGCTGCCAAAAAAACGTGGATACCCATGAACATTTTAGCTCTCCCTCCTGCCTTTTTAGTCCAATGCAGTTGTACAAGGGTATGCGAAATGAGGTGCTCTGTGATAGTAGGAGACTCCTGCCTCAGATGGTAGTCCTTCAGGTGAACAATAGCAGTACAGGTCTGACCATACGAGGACAGCCGCCATGTATAGGACCCACATTGCTATGAAAGCAGCTCGCAAGACCCGCCCAGACAGGTTCATCATCATCATCATCATCATCATCATCATCATCATCATCATCATCATCATCATCATCATCATCATCATCATCATCATCATCATCATCATCATCATCATCATCATCATCATCATCATCATCATCATCATCATCATCATAGTTACCGATAAAAGCTCTGCAACCTTTCAGGCCGCCTCACCTACCGGTAGGTAAGGTAACCGATCGGTAAGGTTACCAATCGGTTACCGGGTCGTTATCTCAAAATGTCGGTTACCCCACTGTAGCGATCAGTTGGGTTATAGCTAACAGGTCGTTTACCGACCTTTTTTTTGCCATAGGGTGGAGGGAGGGACGTATGGAGGGAGGGATGTATGGTCCTATGGTATACATTCTACCTGTCGCCAACCGGTAACCGGGCCCAACTGGTCGGTAGGGTGGGGCCTCGGCAGGGTTACCCAGGAGTTAACTGCCTTCACCCCACCGAAGGGTTACCTTATCGATGGATCACCCCACCAACCGGTTACCGGCCGGGACGAAACTCGGTTGACGGTAATGGAATGCAATGGAAAGTACCTAACCATGCAGAAGAAGTGCCTTGTCTACACCTGGTTCAGTAAAGCGACCAAAGACCTGCCAGCTGAGCTGCTGCGTGTTCACCGTGCTGGCTGGTGCACGCTGACAAACGAATTTTTTCCTAACAAGACTGCCCATGTGTACATCTTTAGGTTTGGTTTACCATACTGTGGCTGTACAGAGGTAAAACTTTAAACTTGGACAAGTTCACAAACAGTTTTAAGATCCAATGCTCGTCATTGCACCTATGGAGTGAAATGACGAGGCATACCTTAACCTAGCCATTCAAACGCGAATTTGCTGAATATGGAAAACACGCTAGAGAATTTTGCCCACCATGTCCGCGCGGAAATTCGCATTCTGGGGAAGGCATCTAGAAATATAAAGGATAGGCTGTTATGTATGCCGCTGTAAGCCGGGCGATAAGCTGCTTGTCAAGGCAGTTACTCCTCTGCATTTGTCGCCAAGTGCCTTTAAGGAGATCATTTGCTTGTCACCAGTCGGTAACCCTGCCAAACCGGTCGGTAACTAAGTCGCTCCGGTACCTGGCCGGTAGGTTAACCGACAAAACGATACAATGACCCAGTAAGTGGAGGTTCACCGACCGAGAAGGTTACCAGTTGGGAACCTAACCGACCAGCCTAGTCCCCCAGTACTATCACCCTAGCGACACCACATCACCACATCACGAGCCCAAGGCTGCCAATGCAGACATCACACACCTAGACATCGTAAACCGATACCGCTGCACCGGACACTTACTACACCAGCACCATAAAGACGCACAAGATCCCGCCGGTGATGCGCTTCCTCAGCTGCTCTCAAGCTGCCCCTCCACTGCCACCGGTCACCTGGCCATGAAGCTGCGCTCTACCCTGGCCGACACCTTCGAACAGTCTGGGAGACTAAAGCTCCCCTACTTCCGGCTTTGGTTCTGCCTAGACTCCAAGGCTGCCAACGCCACCATCTATGAATACAACACCAGCTAAGTCATCACCGATTTCATTCTCCTGCATCTACAGGGCTTCACCCGGCTTAGCACAACGTCACAAACACTTCCCCCGACCTCCCCCACACCATTTTTGCCGTGCGCGCCCAGAAGTGCTTTAAGCATGAAGGCGCGAAAGTGCTCAAGGTCGTAACCACTCCAGTACCGCCCCGGCTACGGGATCAGCGGCCCACTCGGTAGTCAGCTGGTTCGAGGGGAGACAATCGGCAATCCGCATGCAACACACAGATCAAACCATCACATGGTACATCACTGAGATGGACACCTGCCCTGCCCACCTTCCTTTCCCACCTGCCCTGCTCTAACTACGTTTACCACTGGCCCTTCTTACCATCAGCCCTGGCAACCTGCCCTCCCGCCTGCCCGGCCAACCTGCCAGTGATTTTTTTTTCATTTAGGCCGGGTCTCAATTTATTCCGACCTAAGTAACAAAGTTGCTAGGGTCGCCGTAATTTATTCCGTAAGTGTGGTCGCCGTAATTTATTCCATAAGTTACAACTCCCCTCATAGACCAAGAGGCACGCACTGAGTTGGCGCGTTTTCGTTCATGTGCGCACTCTTCATGCACATGCATAGATAGTTCTGGCACTGTTTGTGAGCAATAGTTCTGGCACTGTTTGTGAGCAAAGGCCCAAAGCAAGCAACCGCATAGCAAATCATAGGCCGTCACAATTTTCAGGCTTATCTTGCTGTTTTGGTGTTTGTTCGACGTTCGAGTCGTTGCAGTAGCCAGGCGCGCTGTGTCCACTATCCTAGTAGCCGTGGCGCTGACGTGACACCACCCGCAACATTCTACTAGTGCAGTAGCCAGGCGCGCTGTGGTCCACTATCCTAGTAGCCGCGGCGCTGACGTGTCACCACCCGCGGCGTTCTACTTGTGCAGTAGCCAGGCGCGCTGTGTCCACTAAGCTAGTAGCCGTGGCGCTGAGGTGTCACCACCCGCGGCATTCTACTAGTGCAGTAGCCAGGCGCGCTGTGTCCACTATCCTAGTAGCCGTGGAGCTGACGTGTCACCACCAGGGTTCGACACTGACCTTCCTGAAACTTGCGGGCTCCCCCGTACCTCCCAAATTTTCCTTACGGAGGGGCCCCCGTACCAGGCTCCTGTGCCGGCCGAAAACCTTACGGGGGCCCCCGTAACCCCCGCAAAACCTTTACGGGGGCACTGTCCTTGGCTGAAACGCTGTGGAAAGTGACGCTTTGCATTTGTTTTGCCCTGTAAATCGTTATTTTCGTTATTTTCTCGCGCTTCTTGGAGGGCGGTGGATTAGGAGGCCCTTGGTCACCTCCTGACGACTCATTGTCTGCCATTGTATACCAGAAGTTATAAAAGTATAATGAAAAGTGTAGTTAAATATTGCAATATGAATAATATGTGCCAAGTGTGTGGCCTTATCCTTTATATGGTCCGTCTTCTCCCCTACAGGGCCCCGTACGGCCTCTTATAAATCCTTAACATCCTTACCACCGTAACCGTAGCCACCGTAACCGGCCTTCGGCCGGTCCGGGGGCGGCCCCGTACGGGGCGCTTCGCACCCCAAAATCCTTACGGGAGCCACCGAAAAGTCCTACGGGCCCTGACGGGGATACCGAAAAAAGGCCAAAACCTTACGGCCCCGTACGGGGTGTCGAACCCTGGTCACCACCCGCGGCATTCTACTAGTGTAGTAGTAAGGCACGCTGTGTCCACTATCCTAGTAGCCGCGGCGCTGACGTGTCACCACCCGCGGCATTCTACAAGTGCAGTAGCCAGGCGCGCT